TGACTTTTTGCACCGATCGTTACACTAAAATGTATTCCACTTTGAGACTGCCAATCACCAAGAGAAGTGCATTTTTAGTGGAAGAGCGGTAACAGAAGTTACCGTATTTTCGCTCCATAAGACGTGACCATATGGACTAGGTTTTAGAGGTAGAAAACAGGAAAAAAAATTGATGAACCAATGGACTGCAGACACAGTACAGGAGATGACCAGAGACTGCGGACACAGTGCAGGGGTAAACAGGAGATGACCAGAGACTGCGGACACAGTACAGGATGACCAGAGACTGCGGACACAACAGGGGATGACCAGAGAACACAGTACAGGAGATGACCAGAGACTGCAGACACAGTACAGGGATGACCAGAGACTGCGGACACAGTGCAGGGATGACCAGAGACTGCGGACACAGTACAGGAGATGACCAGAGACTGCGGACACAGTACAGGAGATGACCAAGACTGCGCACACAGCACAGGGGATGACCAGAGACGAGTACAGGGGATGACCAGAGACTGCAGAGACACTAAAACCTGTTACAGATACCCACTTTCCGCGGAGTTGTTCTTTCACATCTACCTGTTCCCATCCAGCCGCGCGTTGTCTTCCCGGCTTCTGTAATGCAGGGCATGACCACAGCCGGGACCCAGTGCGGATGATGCGAGTGCATTGCGCTTTGTGATTGGTTGCTTCCTGTCAGTGTCCCAATGCCTTACCCACAAAAAGACACCGCTTCCTGCGCAGCGCAGCACCCTTCTGTCATGACCAGAGACTGACCGCGCCGCTGGATAGAGGAACTAAGATGAAAGAACAATCCACGGAAGTGGGAGCGGATCTGTCAAATTCAGGTACCCGCTCCCCCCCCTCCCCAAACAGGATGATCTCAAGCTGTAGAGCTGAGCGGCCGGCCAGGGTATTCTGACACGGCGGCAGTGGAAATACCGGACCGGCCGCTCAATATTCGCTCCATAAGACGCACTGACATTTTCCCCCCTTTTTTTGGGGGAGTGCGTACCTTATGGTGCGAAAAATACGGTATGTTGTAACTTATGCATATTGACCTCATGTAGAAGACATGCAAAGGAAATATTTGTGCAGGTACAGCTCGGCTCAGTAACCACATACTTAAAACGGAACTCCACCCAAAAGAGGAAGTCCACTTTGTCTTTCTCCCCTCCTCCCCTGCCACATTTTGGCATGTAATATTTTTTTTTCTTGGGGGGGGGAGCAGCTACCTAGTTGTGACAGGTACCTGCTCCAAGATCCCTTGGATCACCTAGCCAGTGATGTTCTCCTCTTCCCCCAGAAGACTGTGGGACCATTCACAGCAGCGGGGCTCACACATGCACAATGGGCAGCCAGCTGTGAAGCTAAAACCAGCATAACCCGCTGCTCACAGTTAGGATGCCGAAGGCTAGTGAAGAACTAGCTCAGGTGAGGATGTCGCTGGATCCTTGGACAGGTTAGTGTCCTTTTTATTAAAAGTCAGTAGCTAAAGGATTTGTGAACCTTCTCTTTAAGCTGGCCATAAATGGATAGAATTTCAAACAAAAATTCTTAGGAAAAGTCTTAGGGAAATTTGTATGAAAATTCTCAAAACATGCGAATGTCATTCGAAAGATTTTTGTTTCCTTTTAACATTTTAATTTTGGATTGAATGGACTTTACTGCACGAAAACCACATAAACTGTTAAGCTGGCTTTACATGTACCGAAAACTGGCGGGTTCAGCAGGAAGTGGCTGATTTTCGATACATGTATCACTCTCTGTTTAACAGTCAGAGTACAGTAGCGCAATGGGGGAGATCCCTGCATCTGCTTGTGTTGATGTGGGTATCTGCAAGGTTTTATTATTCAACCCGCTGGTTGAACAAAAAAAAAAGCTCCACTTATACCCTGCTTTGTTCATTTGAGAAAAATTTTCCACCTTGCACTTTTGAATTTTCTCATCACTGCAGTCAACAGCCGATGTAAATTCGACCAACTAATGATTAATAAAACAAACTTCCTTAGAGCATCCCTTTCCTAAGAATTTTTGTTTGAAAGTCTGCCCATCTATAGATACGGTAACTTTAAGTTTGGAGTGTATCATGTAAGTGAACAATCTCATTGCACATGTAGATGTAGAGCACAAAAAAACTGCTTGGATGTAATGATCACCTTTGAAGATTTAGAATATATTTGAAAATTAAAGCCCAACCCTTTCCAAATGTTTAGTTTTGTTTTGGAAAGAGTAAAGGAGGTTCTGCGCAGAAAGATGATCTCATAATTCTGTTGCTAGTTGTCCACTGTCTAATCTGTAGACAGGGAATGAGGAACTGACACTACTGTATTCCTTAAAGTGGTTGTAAAGGCTTCAGTTTTTTTTACCTTTTATGTATTCTATGCATGAAAATATTCAGGGTGCAGCAGTGCCCCCCACCCCCACCCCCCCATATCCCATTAAATACTTACTTGAGCCCCATCGTGATCCAGAGATGTGCACAAGAGCCGTGGCTCTCTGGGGACTCTCCCTCTTTATTGACTGAGACAGCAGTGGTAGCCATTGGGGGGGTCTCTGTGTGAATGGACACATAGAACAGCGGTTTAGGAGCGAGCTAGCTTGATTGCTCTGGGGGCACTCAGCAGGAAAGAGGGGCCAGGAGTACAGACGGGGTACCTGAGAAGAGGAGGATCGAGGTAAAACCACTACACAGAGCAGGTAAGTATAACATGTTTCTTCGTTTTTTTTTTATTACCTTTAATATCACTTTAACTGTAATAGAGGAAGTGCTGGCATCGATCTGGCAGGGCTGTGTAAATCTCAAGACTAGATTAACAGAAATGCTAATCATATGGCAGACATAACTTTTCCTTTATATGTATTTCATCTACGGATTTAAGTGTTTGCCTGCAGCTTTAAAACGTAACAGGGGTTCCAACCCTCCCTTGCTTTGGGCCAGAATAGTTATACATTTTTAGACTGTAAATAAATGGAGGTTGAAAGGGAAGATTTGGGTTGCCCTGGATATGATCAAATTTGTAGAAAAAAATTGATCAGTTTGGTGTTTTAACTTCATATGTCTGTATGCTGTTTGTTACATATGGGTATACTCACCACAAGTAAACTCATGCAGCCACTTGTGGTCATTATCAAGATTATTATTATTAGTGAAGTCTGTTCAGTGAAAATGTTTCTCATGGAACGCCTTGAATCGATTCCATCGGAACATGATTGGAGAAACCCTTTGTAAGGGTATGAACATTTTTTTAGGTGCCCACGACATGTTTTGTCCCATGGTTTTCACTTGTTTTTGTTATTATATAGTGGATTGTTCAAGTAATAGCTGCTGCATGTGTTCTGTTTTAAGTGGCAGTTTTGCAGATTACACTGTTCAACAAATTTTTTTATTTTTTTTTGCCAGTTTTGGAAACAAAAGGATCCATTTCTTAATGAATTTCACATTCTGAGTTCAAATATAACAATGAAATTTGTCAATTGGCTCTAGTTTTTCTGTAAACGGAAAGTTTTCTACTTTAGGCGTAATGACTACATAATGCACAATAATTATATAGATAGATGTCTTTCCACAAATATAAAGCAAGTGATATTGACTACATAACAAAGCCTAAATGGCATAATATATTGCATAGGATTACCAAGAAAAATTATAGCCATAAGCTAAGTTGAATCATTTTAATACTTAGGATTCTCACTAGTTTTGTCTTCAGTTTGTGTCGGTTTTGCTTCTCTTGGCTTTTCTCTTGTATTCGAGGAAAGGGCTATCTCTTACAACTGCACGTGACCACACGCTTCAGGTTCTTCCTCACTTGACTCAACCACGAAGGATTCTGGTGCTTTAGGAATTGGTAGCCCCTCTCCATGAGGAACTGGACGTATTGCCGATGGAATATTTGGATAGTGCACAGATAACTTTTTTTCTTCTTATTTAGCCCTTTTACAATTGGAGGCACCATACAAAAGTAACAATTACTAACATGATCTGTTGGCTCTCTCCAAATCATTGGCACAGAAAAAGGCATAGATGCCTTTTTTTCCATTCAACCATTGCTCCAGTGCCGTCCCACAAGAATTGCAGCATATATGTGGTGCCCAGCTCTTGTCCTGGTCTCCTATCTTGCAGCCAAAATACAAGTTGTAGGCCTTCTTAATCATTCCTGTTATCCTCCTTTTTTGTGAGATAAAAGTTATTTCCCCGCAGATATAGCAGAAATTATCTGCTTTATTCACACAAGTTCGAGGCATTACTGAGTAGCCTATATAAGCATAAAACGAAATGTAAAGACGCTGTCGAACTACAATCAGCTACAGATACTGCAGCTTTTATGCAGTGAAGTGATGCAAATAAAGACTAATATTGCATCATCTCAGTATACATGCAATTTTCTATTGGTCACCAGTATCAATTGCCCAATATGCAGCTGAAGTTGCATCATAATTTTGAATGGCTTACGTCATTAGATGGGTGAATATATCATGGAAACTAGAGCCAATCAACATTTTTTAGGGTCATTTTCGTTTTCAGCACCCCAAAATTATGTAAGATTAGCTAATTTTATGCCCAAAACTTTTTACCTGTTGAACAGTGTTATTAAAGGGCACTAGCAGTTCCATTAACATTTTTTAGCTATACACAGTGGCGTCTACTGGTGTGGTAAAACATGGTGTCACCCCCTCCCCCGCAAAATAATATTTTTCCCATATAACACTGTGATTAATGGCAATATTAGTGCCGTAAACAACTAGTGATGATCAGGATGCTGGTATGGTTTATAGCAGTGATCAGGAAACTAATATGGTTTATGGCAGTGATCGGGGTGTTGGTATGGTTTATGGCGGTGATCAGGCTGCTGGTATGACTTATGACAGTGATCAGGAGGCTGGTATGGGGGTATGCGGTGATCAGGGCGCTGGTACGAGTTATGGCGGTGATCAGGGCGTTGGTATTGCGGTGATCAGGATGCTGTTATGATTTATGGTGGTGATCAGGATGCTGGTATGGGTTTATGGCGGTGATCAGGCTGCTGGTATGACTTATGACAGTGATCAGGATGCTGGTATGGGGTATGTGGTGATCAGGCTGCTGGTATGGTTTATGGCGGTGATCAGGGTGATCAGGATGCTGGTATGGTTTATGGCGGTGATCAGGATGCTGGTATGGTTTATGGCGGTGATCAGGCTGCTGGTATGATCAGGACTGGTTATGACAGTGATCAGGATGCTGGTATGGTTTTTTATGGCGGTGATCAGGATGCTGGTATGGGGTATGGCAGTGATCAGGCTGCTGGTATGACTTATGACAGTGATCAGGGATGCTGGTATGGGGTATGCGGTGATCAGGGAGCTGGTATGAGTTATGGTGTGTGATCATGAGGGCGTTGGTATGGCGGTGACCTGGGAGCTGCAATGAAGGAGACATCCGACAATATCAAGACAGTAAAGCAGACAATGCAATGTAGGGAGGTCTGGATGGCATTGGGAGTGAACTGAAGTTTGTAGAAATCAGGATCTTCTTGATAGGATGAATGCAGCTCTGCATGGGAAATACTGTAAGTTCCAGCAATTGCAGCAGGATGCATGCCCTGCACCAGTGTTCAGCGACGTCATGGGATTTGCCTGTTAGAAGTAGCCACAGGGAATATGCTGTGGGTGCGGTGCCGGCAATCGCAGTGGGCAGCCTAGCATGGCAACACGCCTGGATGGATGGCCCGCCCACCCAGCGTCCCCCACATCACGCCAGCTCAGTCTCGGCGCGCCCAACCCAAGAGGTGAGGATGATTCTTTAGTGTTGCTGCACCGCCTCGAGCTTCTGTATTCAGAAGTGACAGCGCAGCAGCCAGTGAGAGGAAAACACAGGGCTAGTGGCAGAGGTGGCGCTACTTTCCAGCTGAAAAAAAAAAGCCCTGCAGCCTGTAGCTGCCCTCTGGATGGTGTCACCCAGGTTCGGTCTGCACCCCCCTGGGACGCCACTTGCTATGCATATATTAAACAACTCTAATCATAACAAATCTTTATTTATTTATTTATTTTTTCTAAACTTTGTTTTTATATATAGTTTGTACATGTGCATGGGAACAGCCATATTTACTCATTAATTATTCAGATTCTTCTTCCTGTTATTTCACTGATCAGATTTGATTAAAAAAAACTTTGAAAATGTTTTTCATCATTTTTTTTTTTACATCTATTACCAGTGCAAAAACGGACCATTTGGACATGTGGTAAAGATGATCATAACATTTCTGCCCTACTTCATTTTTGTTGGTGTGAAGGAATGAAAAGCATTGTTTTTGCAATGTTATGCCCCTTTTGTGTTTCCCACTTTGGATCAGTGTATAGATTTCAGGAACAACATATAATGAAGTAGCTATTATTGGTCCCTGTCCAATTGTACCCTGTATATACATTTAATAATGAATCAATGTTTTGTTTCTTTTTATATAAAGCACTACATTTAGTGTTAAATGTTCAAGGTAATACAAATACAGTCATAAATTAACAGAGACCTAAGCAGAACAAATAATTATGTAAATTATTTGATACAATACAATAAATGGTAATGTGTATTTCAAATATATGCAACTATATAAATTCTCAGACAATTGGCCTTAGGTTCGTAGGTTGGCAAAGGTTAAATGCAAGCTAATTTAACAACTGTTTAATTTCTTTTTAATATTACAAAAATTAAATAATTCATGACTGAACCTTTATCATGTGTTATTCTTATTATGACTAGAAGACTGGGCTGATTTTCTAGAAACTGGAGGAAAGAAACACCAGTTGTGTGCTGCAATATAAAACCTGGATGAGAGTGGTTAGAATTGGCAACTCGGTTCAATCAACCGCAAGGTTTTTCTGTAATTTGTTTGTTTTTATTTGTTGTACATTTGAAAACTTATGTATCACACTGGAATTTCTATGGTGGTTTGAGTTTAAAGTGAACCTGTGCGCAGAGTATGCATATTAAAGTACTGTATTTACATGTTTTGAACAAGCTGTAAAACAAACCCTCATTCATCTCTTTGTACATATAAGCATATAAGCATCAGGGAAAAATGTATTTTCTAAATTCACTGAAATCTTAGCTATTTTCCAGTGAGAAAATAATTTTTGCAGTCTACCATCTTTCTAAGGACTCATTCGAAACAACCCCATTGGGCTGCATTGGGCAGCAGGGCAGAAGGGAGTTCCAGCACAGAACAAGACAAATTGTCATATGGCCTGTTGCTTCAGTTCACACCACATGTGCTGTATTGTGTGCTGAATAAAGTAATATTGCATTTTTGTGCAGCGCATTCTGATGCACATTGGGGGAATTCAGTAAAGCTGCTGCACCACTTTTCTGGCGCTAACCCCTCTTGTATATATATTGTGCCAAATATATGAAGCATTTGCGACTCATTTGGTTCTGACAGCATCTCATGCACCAAATTCAGATGCCCCACTTTTACATTGTGTCACATTAAATGCAGCATTTTTACACTGTGTTGAATTAAAGGCGCAAAATGTAAAGGTGGAGCTAATTTAGACTAAATCTCTTTTTGCATACAAAGAGAAAAACTGTCTCAGACAGATTTTGTAAAAGTGTCTCACGTGCATTCTATAAGGGGCAGAGCTGAGCCAAATTCAAATACTACACGGGTACATGAAGTTGGCACATTCTTCACCACGTTTAGAATGCATGAGAGACACTTTCGCAAAATCTGCCTGTACCAGTCTTTATGAATTCCAGAGGATGTGACATGCTGATGCACATTAATTAATCTAAGTATAACAAAGCAAGAACTGCAATGCATGCACAGCTCAAACATGCCTGCCTTTTGTGCCCTATAACGTGTGCCTACTGATGTGAATGAGCTCTTTTGAAAATAAAGTGTTTCTAAGCTGTTAGAAACCAACCAAAACTGGACTCTAGAATCATTTATTGTGATCTGCGAGGATCTTTGTGAAAGAATAATTTCACATTAAAAGCAGCTAGAGAGGTCAGGGATGAAATGTTTAAAATATTTTCACTGCTAGCTGCAAATATGAAAATAGTTTAAAAGAGAAGTATGGGTTTCTTTAAAAATTACTGAGAACTAAGTGATCAAAGACCACTGATGCTCAGTTTTTGTTCTTCAGTGAGCAGAGAGTGGTGACTATTAGTCTTCGGCTCTCTGCTCTGTCCCTCTAGCACTTACTGGAGCACCAAGCTGTGGAAAGGGCGGGGGGTGGTTGGCTCAGGCTCTCTGCGCTTCAGTGATAGGCTGAGCCAGCTGCCGGTCCAGGCATCTAGGTGGATCCCAACATTAAAGGGTACCTCCACTTTGGTGGGGAAAAAAATAGCAAATTAAAAGAAATAATATAGCATATACAATAGCAACAAAAGTACATATTGTAATTAGTGGTGCACCGAAATGAAAATTCTGGTGCAGAAAACGAAACCGAAATGTGAAGTTTTTAAAAATGAATATATATTTTTTGGAAAAAAATACACTTTGATTAAAAAATACAATATATACCCCAATTTGTTTTGTAAAATATGAAAGAGGATGTTACGGCGAGTAAATAGATACCACACATGTCATGCTTTAAAATTCTGCACGCTCGTGGAAAGGCGTGAAACTGCAGTACGTAAAAATATCCATGGGTGATGCTTTAAAAATTTCTACAGGTTAGCATTGTAAAGTTACAGAGGAGGTCTAATGCGAGAATTATTGCTCTTGCTCCGATGTTCGTGGTGATACCTCACGTTTACATATGTGGGCATGGCCTACGTATGTGTTCACCACTATGTGCGAGCACGGGGGGGGGCACTTTTAAACTTTAAAAAAAAATGTACCGTATTTTTCGCTCCATAAGACGCACCTAGGTTTTAGAGGCAGAAAACAGGAAAAAAAATTCTGAACTAATGGACTGCAGACACAGTACAGGAGATGACCAGAGACTGCGGACAGACTACAGGAGATGACCAGAGACTGCAGACATAGTACAGGAGATGGCCAGAGACTGCGGACATAATACAGGAGATGACCAGAGACTGCGGATATAGTACAGGAGATGACCAGAGACTGCAGACACGGTACAGGGGATGACCAGAGACTGTGGACACAGTACAGGAGATGACCAGAGACTGCAGACACGGCACAGGGGATGACCAGAGACTGCGGACACGGTACAGGGGATGACCAGAGACTGCGGACACGGTACAGGGGATGACCAGAGACTGCGGACACGGTACAGGAGATGACCAGAGACTGCGGACACGGTACAGGAGATGACCAGAGACTGCGGGCACGGTACAGGAGATGACCAGAGACTGCGGGCACGGTACAGGAGATGACCAGAGACTGCGGACACGGTACAGGAGATGACCAGAGACTGCGGACACGGTACAGGAGATGACCAGAGACTGCGGACACGGTACAGGAGATGACCAGAGACTGCGGACACGGTACAGGAGATGACCAGAGACTGCGGACACGGTACAGGAGATGACCAGAGACTGCGGACACGGTACAGGAAGATGACCAGAGGCTGCAGACAGTACAGGAGATGACCAGAGACTGCAGACAGTACAGGAGATGACCAGAGACTGCGGACACATTACAGGAGATGACCAGAGACTGCGGACACATTACAGGAGATGACCAGAGACTGCGGACACATTACAGGAGATGACCAGAGACTGCGGACACAGTACAGGAGATGACCAGAGACTGCGGACACAGTACATGAGATGACCAGAGACTGCGGACACAGTACATGAGATGACCAGAGACTGCGGACACAGTACATGAGATGACCAGAGACTGCGGACACAGTACATGAGATGACCAGAGACTGCGGACACAGTACAGGAGATGACCAGAGACTGCGGACACAGTACAGGAGATGACCAGAGACTGCGGACACAGTACAGGAGATGACCAGAGACTGCGGACACAGTACAGGAGATGACCAGAGACTGCGGACACAGTACAGGAGATGACCAGAGACTGCGGACACAGTACAGGAGATGACCAGAGACTGCGGACACAGTACAGGAGATGACCAGAGACTGCGGACACAGTACAGGAGATGACCAGACACAGTACAGGAGATGACCAGAGACTGCGGACACAGTACAGGAGATGACCAGAGACTGCGGACACAGTACAGGAGATGACCAGAGACTGCGGACACAGTACAGGAGATGACCAGAGACTGCGGACAGTACAGGAGATGACCAGAGACTGCGGACAGTACAGATGACTGCTGACCTTTGGGGAGGGGGGGGGGAGCAGGTACCTGAATTTGACAGGTACCCGCTCTTACTTCTGCGGAGTTGTTCTTTGATCTTACCTGTTCCTCTATCCAGCCGCGCGCTGTCTTCCCGGCTTCTGTAGTGTCGGCGCTCGGCGGACAGCCGGATGCCCAGTGCGCATGAGCGATTAGCGCTGCACTTTGTGATTGGTCCGGCGGCTTCTGGGATCTGTCATGTGTCCCAGGTACCGCCTTACCATTCACAAAGAGCACCACTTCGTGCACATGCGCACTTGGCACCCGGCTGTCACGCACACTACAGAAGCCGGGAAGACAGCGCGCCGCTGGATAGAGGAACGGGTAAGGTCCCGCTGCAGAGCTGAGCGGCCGGCCCGGTATTCTGACACGGCGGCGGTGGAAATACCGGACCAGCCGCTCCATATTCGCTCCATA